CCTTCCTTCCTTCCTTCCTTCCTTCCTTCCTTCCTTCCTTCCTTCCTTCCTTCCTTCCTTCCTTCCTGTGTGTGTAGTCCTGGTTGTCCTGAAATTAATTCTGTAAATCAAGTTGGCCTTGACATCCTCCTTCCTCTACCTCCTGAGTGCTGGGATTAAAGGTGAGCGCCATCACCACCTGGTTAAAAACACTTTTTTTTTTTTTTGTTCCTGTCTTTGTCTACATCAGAAATCTAGTAGTCATTCTTAATTCTAATGCATTGAAGTTCAGCCAGTCACTACATTCTGTTACTTTTAAAAAAAATGTGTTTGTGTTTCTTGCATGTTTGTCAATCACTTTCATGCCTGATGCCCTTGGAAACCAGGAGAGAGCACCTCTCTGGAACTGGGTACAGATAGTTCTAAGCTACTTTCTAAGTGCTTGGAACTGAACCTGAATTCTTTGGAACCAGTGCTTTTAACTGATGAGCCATCTCTCCAGCGCCAAATTCTATTTATTTTATCTCTAAAATTTTTTTGAAGTCATCAACAACTTTATTGACAGATAAAAGGAGCCTGTAAACTCACCTTTTTGTCTCTTGCTAATAGAAACTCTGGCATCATGGCCTGCTACTACTTCTAGGATCCCTTTTGCTCCCCTTGCTTCTCTCCAGTTTGCTAATTTTTTTTCCAGTTTTTCAAGACAGGGTTTCTCTGTGTAGCCTTGGCTGTCCTGGACTTGTTTTGTGATCAGGCTGGCCTCTAACTCAGAGATCCACCTGCTTCTGCCTTCCCAGGTGCTGGGATTGCAGGGGTGGCTTTTTTCCCCTCCTAGTTTGCTAGTCTTAGACTAAGGTTCCACTCTTCTCATGGTGCTTGCTGTTATGTATATTAGATGCAATCTTCTCTTCCCTCCTCATCTCCTTTGTGTATGTTCATGCACAGGTTAAGACTGTTTTTAGAGGTTTTTTTGGTTTTCCTTTTTGTTTTGGCTGGGCAGCCTAGGCTAGCCTAGACCTTACTCTGCAGCCAGGCTGCCCTTGAATTAGATCTTAGTACATCTGCCTCCTTAATGTTGGGATTGTGGGTGTGATGTTACATCACAACTAAGGTCTATGTGTATGTGTAGAAATAGTTCCTTGTTGTTTCTTTGAAACAAGGTATATTTAATGGGAAAAGATTGCTTCACTTTGTGTTAGGCATAGAAGCCCTCATTGTCTTCCTGGTGCATGAATCAGCAAGTCTTTTTGCAAGTGGTGACTCTCCTTCACAGGGTGCTCACATTGCAGTTTTTAGTTTTCTGTGAGTTTGATTATTGTGTTTCCCCGGTAGACTTCAAGCAAGTTCAGAAATGACACCCATAAGGTGTCCCTTATAATCCGAGAAGTCTACTGCAAAGTAATACTGCAGAGATATTGTGGACATGGCAATAAGTGTTCTCTGGTCAGTTTTGAGTATTCTGTGAGTGGTCAGTCAACAGTGTAGTCATTTTTTCTCTTTTTTGTTGGAGACTTGAGTATTTTTTTTTTTTTTAATTCTGTTGTATTCATTTACATCTTCAAATTGTAGCATATAACAAATTCTCAGCCTATCTCCTGGAACAGCAAGAATTAACACCAGAATTGTTCTTCAGTTGTTTGTGTGGCCACAGCACTTTAAAATAATTTCATACTATGCATGAAGATACTCATCCCAGAATTTTGAATGTGTTTCTGCTGTGCAAGGAACAATAACGGAGAAATCGATTTCTCTTTAACTTCTGAAATTAGTACTTACGTCTTCTCTGTGTTACCCTTTCAATAACTGTTGTTAATAATTGATTATTTTCATAGAAAAGGTAGGCACCACTAATGAATCAGGCCTTGGTCATAAGTGATGATATACAAACTGTGGTTAGTTCCCTCTTCATGCTGGGTCAAAAGCAAATGCAGGATTTATTTATCAGTTACCATATTTGGTTTTCTAAGTATTGAAACTTTCTTGTTCACAGCTCTTGGACAAGCACAAGACTATAGAGAGCATGGTGGAGCTTTTGGACTTGTATCAGATGGAGGACGAAGCCTACAGCAGTCTTGCAGAGGCCACAACTGAACTCTACCAGTATTTACTTCAGCCATTCCGAGACATGCGAGAGCTTGCCATGCTGCGAAGACAACAGATCAAGGTAACTTTTTTCTTTTAAGCCTAAACTGTAACCTCTCTGCTTAATGGCTCTGAGGCTTGCTAGTCACATATTTTAACTACAAAAGTTTTTAAAATAATGCAAGCAGATTCTTGGCCTCTCTTCTAGAAGGCCGAGGTCTACTGTTGGGGCAGTTATTATCATACTCAAACTCTTGAAAAATGTTGAATTGTCAGTTTTTTTTTTAAATTTTTTAACTTTTATTAATTACACTTTATTCATTTTGTATCCCCCATAAGCCCCTCCCTCCTCCCCTCCCGATCCCACCCTCCCTCCCCTTTCTGCATGCATGCCCCTCCCCAAGTCCACTGATAGGGGAGGTTCTCCTCTCTTTCTTTCTGGTCTTAGTCTATCAGTTCTCATCAGAAGTGGCTGCATTGTCCTCTTCTGTGGCCTGGTAAGGCTGCTCCCCCCTCAGGGGGAGGTAATCAAAGAACAGGCCAATCAGATTATGTCAGAGGCAGTCTCTCTTTCCATTACTATGTAACCCACTTGGACACTGAACTGCCATGGGCTACATCTGTGCAGGGGTCTTAGGTTATCTCCATGAATAGTCCTTGGTTGGAGTATGAGTCTCTGGGAAGTTCCCTGTGTTCAAATTTTCTTGTTCTGTTGCTTTCCTTGTGGAGTTCCTGTCCTCTCCAGCTCTTGCTATTTCCCACTCCTTATATAAAATTCCATTCACTCTGCCCGACAGTTGGCCATCAGGCTCAGCATCTGCTTTGATAGTCTGCAGGGCAGAGGCTTTCAGATGCCCTCTGTGGCAGGTTCCTAGGTTGTTTCCTGTTTTCTTCTCTGGCTTTCAGAGGCCCTCTGTAGCAGGTTCCTAGGTTGTTTCCTGTTTTCTTCTTCTTCTGATGTCCATCCTCTTTGCCTTTTAGGATGGGGATTGAGCATTTTAGTTAGGGTCTTCTCTTTTGCTTAGTTTGTTTAGATGTACAGATTTTAGTGGGTTTATCCTATGTTGTATGTTTATATGAGTGAGTATATGCCGTATGTGTCTTTTTGCTTCTGGGACAACTCACTCAGGATGATCCTTTCTAGGTCCCACCATTTACCTGCAAATTTCATGATTTCCTTATTTTTCATTGCTGAGTAATACTCCATTGTATAGATGTACCACAATTTCTACATCCATTCTTCAGTTGAGGGACATCTGGGCTGTATCCAGCTTCTGGCTATTACAAAGAAGGCTGCTACAAACATGGTTGAGCAAATGTCCTTTTTGTGTACTTGAGCTTCTTTTGGATATATGCCTAGGAGTGGTATGGCTGGATCTTGAGGAAGCGCTATTCCTAGTTGTCTGAGAAAGTGCCACATTGATTTCCAGAGTGGTTGTACAAGGTTACATTCCCACCAGCAGTGGAGAAGGGTTCCCCTTTCTCCACAACCTCTCCAGCATGTGTTGTCAGTTGAAATTTTGATCTTGGCCATTCTGATGGGTGTAAGGTGAAATCTCAGGGTTGTTTTGATTTGCATTTCCCTGATGGCTAATGATGTTGAACATTTCTTTAAGTGTTTCTCTGCCATTCGATATTCCTCTACAGAGAGTTCTCTGTTTAGCTCTGTTCCCCATTTTTTAAGTGGATTACTTGGTTTGCTGCTTTTCAGCTTCTTTAGTTCTTTATATATACTGGATATGAGTCCTCTGTCAGATAAAGGGTTGGTGAAGATTCTTTCCCAATCTGTAGGCAGTCGCTTTGTTTTGATGATGGTGTCCTTTGCTTTACAGAAGCTTTTCAGTTTCATGAGGTCCCATGTATTGATTGTTGCTCTTAGAGCCTGTGCTGTTGGTGTTCTGTTCAGGAAGTTTTCTCCTGTACCAATGAGTTCTAGGGTATTCCCCACTTTTTTTTCTAGCCGATTTAATGTGTCTGGTTTTATGTTGAGGTCTTTGATCCACTTGGACTTCAGTTTTGTGCAGGGTGATAAGTATGGATCTATTTTCATTTTTCTACATGTAGACATCCAGTTGGACCAGCACCATTTGTTGAAGATGCTATCTTTTTTCCATTGTATAGGTTTGGCATCTTTGTCAAAAATCAGGTGTCCTTAAGTGTGTGGGTTTATTTCTGGGTCTTCTGTTCGGTTCCATTGATCCACCATTCTGTTTCTATGCCAGTACCATGCAGTTTTTATAACTGTTGCTCTATAGCACAGCTTGAGATCAGGGATGGAGATACCTCCAGAAGATCTTTTATTCTAGAGGATTGTTTTAGCATTTCTCGGTTTCTTGTTATTCCATATGAAGTTGAGAATTTTTCTTTCCAGGTTTGTAAAGAATTGTGTTGGCAATTTGATGGGAATTGCGTTAAATCTGTAGATTGCTTTTGGTAAGATGGCCATGTAACATAGGATTACTATGTTAATCCTGCCAAGCCATGAGCATGGGAGATCTTTCCATCTTCTCATATCTTCTTCTAATTCTTTCTTCAGAGACTTGAAATTTTTTTCATACAAGCCTTTGACTTGCTTGGTTAGGTTCACACCAAGGTACTTTATGTCATTTGTAGCTATTGTGAAGGGTGTTGTTTCCCTAATTTCTTTCTCGGCCCTTTTGTCTTTTGTATACAGGAAGGCTACTGATTTTTTTTTTTTTTTTTTGAGTTAATTTTGTATCCAGCCACTTTGCTTGAAGGTGTTTATCAGCTGTAGGAGTTCCCTGGTAGAGTTTTTGGGTTCACTCAGGTATACTATCATATCATCTGCAAATAGTGATACTTTGACTTCTTCCTTTCCCATCTGTATCCCCTTGATCTCCTTAAACTGTCTTACTGCTCTAGCAAGGACTTCCAGCACTATGTTGAAGAGATATGGAGAGAGTGGGCAGCCTTGTCTTGTCCCTGATTTCAGTGGGATTGCTTTAAGTTTCTCTTCGTTCAGTTTGATGTTGGCTATAGGCTTGCTGTATATCGCCTTTACTATGTTTAGATATGTGCCTTGTATCCCTGATCTCTCCAATACTTCAAACATGAATGGATGTTGGATTTTGTCAAATGCTTTTTCAGTATCTAGGGAGATTATCATGTGGTTTTTTTTTCTTTCAGTTAGTTAATATGGTGGAATACATTGATGGATTTCCATATATTGAACCACCCCTGCATACCTGGGATGAAGCCTACTTGGTCGTAGTGGATAATATCTTTGATGTGTTCTTGTATTCGGTTTGCAAGTATTTTGTTAAGTATTTTTGCATCAATGTTCATAAAGGAGGTTGGCCTGAAATTCTCTTTCTTAGTTGAGTCTTTGTGAGGTTTAGGTACCAAGGTGACTGTGGTTTCATAGAATGAATTTGGTAATGTTCCTTCTGTTTCTATTTTGTGGAATAGTTTGAAGAGAATTGGAGTTAGCTCTTCTTTGAAGGTCCGGTAGAATTCTACGCTGAAGCCATCTGGTCCTGGGCTTTTTTTGGATGGGAGACTTTTGATGACCGCTTCCATTTCTTTGGGGGATATAAGACTATTTAGTTGATTTACCTGGTCCTGGTTCAGCTTTGGTAAGTCAAATCGATCAAGCAAATTGTCCATTTCATTTAGATTTTCAAATTTTGTGGCATATAGACTTTTGAAGTAAGTCCTAATGATTGTTTGGATTTCCTCAGTGTCTGTAGTTATGTCCCCTTTTTCATTTCTGATTTTGTTGATTTGGGTGGTGTCTCTCTGCCTTTCAGTTAGCTTGGCTAAGGGTTTGTCGATCTTGTTGATTTTCTCAAAGAACCAGCTCTTGGTTTCATTGATTCTTTGAATTGTTTTATTTGTTTCTAATTGATTGATTTCAGCCCTGAGTTTGATTATTTCCAGCCGTCTACTTCTTTTTGGTGTGTCTGCTTCTTTTTCTAGGGTTTTTAAGTGACCCATTAAGTTGCTTGAATGAGCTGTCTTGAATTTCTTCTTGAAGGCACTTAGTGCTATTCACTCTCCTCTTAGCACTGCTTTCATTGTGTCCCACAAGTTTGGGTATGTTGTGTCTTCATTTTCATTGATTTCTAGGAATACTTTAATTTCTTTATTTCTTCCCTGACCCAGCTCTTATTCAGTAACAAGTTGTTTAGTTTCCATGTGTGTGTAGTCTTTTTGCTATTTCTGTTGTTGTTGAGGTCTAGCTTTATTCCATGGTGATCAGACAAGATACAAGGGATTATTTCAATCTTCCTGTATCTGTTAAGGCTTGCTTTGTGACCAACTATATGGTCTATTTTGGAGAAGGTTCCATGAGGTGCTGAGAAAAAGGTAAATTCTTTTGTGTTTGGGTGTAAAGTTCTGTAAATGTCTGTGAGGTCCATTTGATTCATGACCTCTGTTAGAGACATTGTTTCTTTGTTTAATTTCTGTTTTGTTGACCTGTCCTTTGTTGAGAGTGGGGTGTTGAAGTCTCCCACTATTAATGTGTGGGGATCTATATGTGGTTTAAATTTTCTCAATGTTTCTTTAACAAATGTGGGTGCTCTTGTATTTGGGGCATAGATGGTCAGGATTGTGATGTCTTCCTGGTGGAATTTTCCCTTGATGAGTATGAAGTGTCCTTCCCCATCTCTTTTTATTAATTTTTGTTGAAAGTCTATTTTGTCAGATATTAGAATGGCTACTCCTGCTTGCTTCTTGGGTCCATTTGCTTGGAAAGTCGTCTTCCAACCTTTTACCCTCAGGTAATGTCTATCTTTGTGCCTTTGGTGTGTTTCTTGTATACAACAGATTGCTGGGTTTTGTTTACGTATCCATTCTGTTAATCTGTGTCTTTTTATTGGAGAGTTGAGTCCATTGATGTTGAGAGAGATTAATGACCAGTGACTGTTAGATCCTTTGATTTTGATGTTGGGTATAGTCATAAGGTAGTGTGCTTGGTTGTTTTTTGTTTTACTGTAGTAGGGTTTTCTTGAAAGAAGCTAATTTTCTTGGGTTGTATTTTTCCTTCCAGTGTCTTCTGTAATCTTGGATTTGTGTGTAGGTATTGTTGAAATTTGTTTTTTGTCTCTGTCTATGAGG